GCACAGGGACCACAGTTCAATCCCCCAGCACCACATGCCAGCCAGCCCTGCCCCCTGGTGGGCTGAGCTGGCCACACACACACACATAAATAAATAAAATTTAAAAAAACAAAACAACAATGATTTAAAAAAAATAATAAAAAAAAAATAAAGCTAGTACTGGAGTCTTGGGAAACCACAATATGTTAATGACTTAATTTAGTTTTGTTGCCATCTGAAGACATATGGAAATTTAGGTCATATTTTTCTCACAATGCTATATCTTTGGGGTGTAGAGTAAATCCAAGGGAAGTGGGAAGGTTCAGGAGACTTATACCAACTTAAAATGTCTGCACTCAGTTCTCAATACTCATGTGGGCCACTAACCTGTCAGTCTTTGTAAAACACACCTGATTTGATTTGTTATTGTGATTCCTCCCATTATGAATATTTGCCTGGCTTTCCATATTTTCCAATGGTTCTTGGCTCCATCTCATTCTGGTACACAGTAGGTATAATAGAAATTTGTTGGACAAACCAGTGAAGTGAGAATAATTTTAGTTTCTATGGACATGATTTTGAGTAGGGTGAGCATGGTAGCACCCTCAAGACCTTGTCAAAACTAGCTTCAGTCATTCAGTCTCTTGTGGGGTATCTTTAAAAATGGTGATGGTAGAGAATTTTGAGTCAAGGATCCCACTGAAAGCCTGATGAAATTATTGGCCATCTCTCTCAATCATGAAAGCACATTTGGCACAAAATTCCAGAGTTCACAAACTCAGGTGGTCCATCTTTTGTTAAGAAGTTCTTAACAGAAACTTCTTTCTTTCTTGTATTTGTGGGTATAAATTAAGATGCTGAAGACAAGAAGAATGTAGTGTTTCTGGCTTGAGGAGATGCGAAGAACATTCTAGAGTAAGGAAAGGAAAACAATATGATGGGGTAGCTCTTGGCTTGTTGTGTTTACTGATTTCCTAATTACTAGTTTGATGCAACAGTGTTTTTATTTCCTTGGCTTATTTCTTCTCCTAAAGTCAGATGGTGGTAAGAGGTTTGACCAGGAATCTTGGCCAGTTTTCAGTGTGTGTATTGCAGGGTATTCTATACTGGAATGAGTCCCAGGGCCAGGTAGCTTTCAGAACAGTCATGTGTGTTTTCCTGTTAAAACTGGCAAATTAGGGCCAGTGAGATAGCTCAGAAGGTTAAGCACCTGCTTAGGCAAGCACAGGGATTAGGGTTCGATTCCCAGCACCACACACTGCACCGGCCCTGCCCCCAGGTGTGCTGAGCCAGCCACCAAGACCAGGCGTGGTGGTGCACAGCTGTTATCTCAGCACTATGGAGGCTGAAAACAGGGGTATCACTAGGAGTCTGAGCTGTATAGTGAGACCCTGTACAGAATACATTAAAAAAAAACCCAACAAATTGGATCCTTCTCCCCACAAAGTCTAGGAATTCCTACATGAAGACATTATATAAATCTAGGTTTCTGGTTTGTGTTCAGCTCTTGATTCCTACTTTGCATCATTGCTGACGAGTTACTTTCTTGTGTGAAATTTAACCTGGAAAGACTGTAAGTAAGAGGATTACAATCAGGCACCTGCTACCCCTTTATTTCATGTACAAAGAATTGCTCTGGGAAATACAAACATTATCTATTCTTCCCATTCAGCTTTGAATTTGCTTAAGCCAATTCTATGACATTCTCTTCTTGGTCAGCAGAATTATTTTAAAGCTCTGATAAATTACTTTACAAGTCAAGCAGTTTTGAACCCTAAGTTTTTTTGTTTTTCTGGTGAGGGAAGAATTTGAGAATAGTGGCTTGGGATCCATAATTAATGTGTGTCTCCTGTACAGTATATTTCCTTAGAGTGGGCTTTTGTGTAGGATGCTATAAGGAAATATCACAAAGCCTGAGCCAGCAGAAAGTGAACTTTCTGGTGTTTTCAGATTCCTTGAGGTAGTGAAAGCTCTGTTCCCCTTCTGTGCTGGTGGTGGTCCTAATCCTGTAGGAGGCCTTGTGTCTTCAGACAAGCTTGAGAGTGTTGTGGTATATGTGCTTTTATGAACTGAAGGAGTTAACTCTGATGTGACCGCCTTCCATGATATGACTCAAGGCATAGATACGACAAGGCCACAGATTTAAAGAAGGAACTGTAGGAGGTGTTAATACTTCCACATTTTTGTTAAAAGATGTATCAGTCACTTATTATAAGAGCTTGTAGAGGGCCAGCCAAATAGCTCAGTAGATTAAAGTGCCTGCAAGAAGGCACAGGGGACAGATGTTTGGTCCCCAGGCCTACAGTGCCGGCCCCGGCCCTGGGGTGCACTGAGACGACAGCTGAGACTGGGTGTGGAGGCCTGCACCTGTAATCCCAGCTCTTGCGAGGCTGCAAACAGGCAGATCACTATGAGTCTGATCTAGTATTGAGATCCTGAACTCCTGTAGACCCTTCCCTAAAATACAAAAAATAAATAAATAAATAAGAGCTTGCAGGACTGGGTTAAGGGTCACTGAAAAA